GTGGTTTTATGCACTTTCAAAGAAAAAAACTGACATTTAATCATGAAACATTTAATATTTGATTCAATTAATCAAATAAGAATATTAAAAATAATAATGCAAGCAGCAAAACCGTGTTGATACCATAATGATATAATTTAGGTCCTAGATACGGTTGGAATTAAAGTGTTTGGACTAAAAACATAAATATTCAAAAGAAAATCTTTGACCTAAAGATCTGATGGGTACCAAGACCTGTCAGACACAAGACCCTCCAACAACATTCATACATATATATGGCTTCTATTTATACTATGTAATGTTAACACTCATCTGCAACATGCAATTGTCTTATATAAAAAGTGACAATTCAAATGCAAGAAATATCAATGTCCTCTGGAGTAGTTGTTGGTTTGTTTTAAACTGATATAAAACATTAATAAACTGTTGAAAACAACTAGGCATGCCCATTCCCACATGTCAAAGCTGTGATAGGTTTTTATACCTAACAGAAGACCGTGATTAAGAAAATGGAAAAGTGGGTAATCATGTCCCCACATATAACTTGAAAGTTCTAAATAATAATTAATACGAATCAGATGACTTCAATTATTAAGGGATAATTGTTATTTTAGAGGTTTCAAGTTCGAGTACAATATATGTAGAGATGTTTGGATGTTCGAGTATTCATTGTTAAATGGTTGAGAGTCTTTCGAACATATACTATTTTGTAATCATCTCATACTAATAAAAAAATCATGTATGAGTATGAAAAAAATAAGATAAATAATATGTTAAAACAATATAAATGTGGAAAATAAAAAGTGTTATTTTTTCAAAACATGTATGTGGAAAATTCAATACAAATATATGATTAAGCAGTGACAATGTGAAAACATTGTAAAAATGACACAAAACAGAGATTGGATATTGTTCTTTTTAGATGTGTCGTGGAAAATGGCCACCACAATGAATGTTCAGAAAATGTCACTACACGCTTCACCGTGAACACTGTACATAGGTAGCGAGAGAATGAGCTTTTTCTTAGTCAGTGATACCGAAACAACACACAGACCCGTCTCCCCGTGCAGAAAAACATGGGCAGGGACATCATAGGGATCGGGGGAATATTGTGAGATACTTTATATCTTTTTGGGGATTGAAGCTGATTCTTCACGTGGTCTTAAAAAAAAATACAAAATTAGATCCAAGTCTTGTTACTCTCCTCTTCGAAATTAATGATGAAAATATTAAGTTTAATTATATTTAAATACAACTAGTTGATTAATTCATCGAAACGCTTTGATTACTACTTCACCCATTGATCACCAATAAATCTAATTTTAATTTACATAATTTTATTAAATTTAATTCAATTTTATTTTCTATTACTAGTTTTTGAAAACTGTGATTGTATCCATTGAACAAATCCGAAATCCACCCTTTTACACTGCCAAAATCTATGTCCGGTGACTGGTGTGATGGGTCACATGCAGCAATCATTTCTGACCCATACGTGCATGGAAAAAGGTACAAACAACAAAGCACTTTCTTAAATACTATGTGGTTTATTAATTACGCAGCATAAATTGCTCTTTGTCAGAGCTCAATTGTGGCTAAAGTTACATATATTCCTTCACCATCGTGAGCAGTATAGGATGAGAGCTGAAAGTCTTTCTACTGATTAAAGCTAACAAGCATACGTATTTTTCAATCTATATATATATTTACGTAGGTGATCCAACTGTAATCATCACTACGGAAAAATTCACATAGGATATCATTCTTAGTTTTACTCTGTATATACGTGGATGTTTGAGTGTAAATCATCAAATGATTGAGAATATTTTGAATATATTGTTTTATAATTACCTAAGACTAATCAATATGTATATGTATTGAATATAAATACCATCAAGCAACAGGAGGAGTTGAAACAACGAGGATTAGGTCGGAAAGCTTTGCTGTCATGCTCGTGGCTGGGCACCGAAGGTAAAAGAAAAAGAAAAAAGTTTTGACCAAACGGTCCCACTTACAACTGCAACTTGCTTGGTGCTTTGGCTCTGTCTAAGATGGTGTCTTACAGACAGAGTTCCAGAAGATACATCCTACAATATTAGTTGTCAATTTTAGAGGTTAGGTGAATTTGTTTTTAACTTCCGAATTGAATTTATTTTGGATATAAATATATACTAAATTGTTACATGTGATCTGGCATTCTGTGGTAAAATTTGGTAGTGCTCTGCAAAGAATCAATCTTGGTTTCGCAGTACGTATCTGAAATATCGGATCTTTGAACGATGATTTAGTTCAGTAACAAAGCAACGAAGTTGTTCTTCAGAATTTGGGTCCCAGTCCAAGTTGGTACCAAAAGATTTGGATACTCTGAGCATCGTCCCTTTATTACCTCACTCAATCATGCTACCGTACTCCATAGATGGGTGCTTTATTTTCAAGCAGAATCTGTGAACCTGATGAGTTGCAGATTTATTCAGATTTTTAGTTTCTTTCCTGAGTGTTTGCGTGACAATGTACTTGCTTCTTGTTCTTTTGTGACCATTGCCAAGTCATTGTTTCATCACAACCCCATAATTGTTGAGACGTTTCTCCATATATAATCGGTAGGAAATTTTTTCGGAGTATCTATGAACAAAGCTAAGGATTTTTTCTCAATCTTATTCTTTCTTGAAATCTTTTCTTTTTTTCTCCATGATCATCAAGTTCAGTATTATCTCCATCAAACGTAATTCTTTTCTAAATCACACTAAATTAGAAGAAGTGAATTATCTATCTATCAATCGATATATATAAATTACTTATTTCGTCTCACTAAATATGTCTCTTTCAGTTTTTAAAATTGTTTCATTCAAAATCTCTTATTAGAAAAAATTAACAAACAATAACATTTATATTTTCTTTGTTACCTTTGTATGTCTCACTCTTTTATATTTATCAAAATGAATCTATCAAAATTATCAATTACATTTTAGAGATAATTTTGTTATTTTCCTTAGTCAAATATATATCCTAAAACTATGTGTATAGTCCGCAAGAGACAAATTATAGGACGGGAATATATATATATATATATATATATATATCAGAATAATTTATACTGTTTCACTCATGAACCTTGTATCCAACAGGGAATATTGCAATCTCTGACAGTGCTGTCATTTTTGGCCTCATACAAAAAACAAATCTAATCTGATTCGCAGGGAAAATATATATGTTAGGGTATGACCCAACAAATATTCTCATTACAAGGACTGTCCTAAAAACGTATTCCCAATACTATTCTTTTTCCAACAAGTAAATTATATTTTACCACATGTTGCATGACAAATAAATAATAATAATAATGCTACAAATAAAGCATCATATTCCCTTTATGGGATAATATGGATGAGGATGAGCCCTTAATTCTTGACATATAGCTGAGGCATATATGTGTGGAAAAATTCAAATGAAATCAATTTCGAAAGATTCTTCAATGTGATTGCAAGTTGCCACGGATGGGACAGGAAGAAATGTAATCAAATTCCACGATGAAGAAAGATTTAATGTTGAAAATGTGAGTCATGTGTATGCTTTCTGTTTTTACACAACATATCTAAAATTATTTATTTGAAATATGAATGTAAAGTATGTTTATATTGACAATAAGTTATAAAATGTGGTAAGAAATAATTATTAGACGATGATTTAACAAACGGTGACAACAAACGATAGTCTTTCAAATTTTTGTTTTTTTATAAAGAGAAAGAAGTTTAATTAAAATAAGGATTTTTAGTTTAAAAAAGGTTAAATTGATATTTTGACTGAATTTCAATAGATTTTTAGAATTAATGTTCAAGTGTTATTTTATTATGAACCAATGATGTAAATAGTTAAAATATAACTTCTAAAAATTGAAGGATCAAAATAACAAAAGAATAAACAAAAATGACCACTAGTATAATTACTTTAAAAGTAATCTTATGGTCGGTCAAAAAGTATAATAATAAAACAAAAAGTTTAGAAGAATCGGATTTCAAATTTTAGTCACACCTTATTACATGAAGTGATGAAGAGATTGTTAACCCCACATTACATCAATCAGCTTTGTTTTTTTCAAAAAAAGAAAACAAATCATTTTTCGAAATGATATCTGGAAATCATGAGAAGTAGCCAAGCAAAAGAAAGCTATAGTGTACCAACTAGATCAAAGTACCTTCATTGTTTTCGAATATTTTATCATGTTATTAGAATATATAAAATAGGAGACACTAGAAGGTTAGGGGATCGATTTCAATGGATCGAATATCGATGATTATACGAAAAATATATATAAAATATCTTATATTTATATAAATTCATATGATAATAATTTATTTATATAAAATTTAAAAGGTATGCATATTTCTTATAACATTTATCTTTTTCTTTTCATATCGTGAAAATATATTGGATTCAAAGATTATTAGGTAGGATTCGGATACAGACCATAATGCAACGATTCTTAATGAGATGATCAATCGAAGTGAACAATTTACTAGATTTCTATGACGAAATTACCCAGATATAGTAGCCAACCACTCATGATTCTATATCTACATTTTTTGAATGAAAAAAAAACAATGACTGTCCAACTAGACAGATTATTCAATTTACCATGAAAGATTTAACTATGTTAGTTGCCTTGGAAATCACTGATATTATCATAATAACATATTTGAATTTATTTATTAAGATAAATAAATTATCCACACATATTTAAAAAAGTAATATTTAATTTATTATCGATATAAAATTTAGATTCTACAATCATATTTTGATGTCTGAAAGGTTGAGAAAGCCCGACACTAATAAGCTATTGACGCCTAGACTAAACCTTCTCTGGGCCTAAGCCTCAGAAAATCCCAAAAATGGCCCAGGCCAGAGAACACAAATATTATCGTACGCCATGCTGCAGCGAATCCCACGTTACATTATACTAGCGAATACAGTGGGATTTTCCGAGTCTCGTATAAAACTAAATATTTTCTCACTGATACTCGTTCGTTATCTTCCACTCTCTTCGATCATCATTTCATAATCCGAAGCGAAGAGGCAAAGATCGATGGTAAATCAATCTCAATTGAGTTCAGAGCATATCTAGGGTTATTTTATATTACGTTTCTATAAATTTGATTGAATGATTTTGTTTCAGGCTTCTGCTGCAAAAGCAATTAGTAGTCCTGTGCCAATTGAATGGTACCCAACCCTAGCCGTCGTAATGCTCTCCATTGGTCTTGTTGTCACCGCTTCCTTCTTCATGTAAATATCTCTTCCATTAAATTTTCTATTTTCTTACCGTTCTTATTCGATTCGTTTTCGTAGGCAATTGTGAAATTTGTAGTTGTTGTTGATTGGTTATACAATTGGGAAAAAAATAGCATAGTGCAAACTTGATACTTTATTTAAAACGTACCTTCTATAGATTTGGAAAGAAATTCTTTTATTAGCCAATTTGGTTCAGTGCTGAATACCAGTGCGAATTTGAAGTTGACGGTTCCACTTTGTGCTTGTGTTGTGTACCATACTAGAGTCATTTCTGCGTTCCAAAATGTTATTTGTTTTAATATTTTTTTTTCTGACTCGATTTTCGTGTTTTGAATTTTGAAATTTTATTTCTTAACTCTAGTTGTGAGCAAAATTCAATTGGAATCACATGCTACTAAACTGCATTAGAATGCCTATATAATTTCAATTCCTCTCTCAACAACAATTTTTCTGTTTTTTAGAATTTAATCGCTCATCTTTTTGATTTATTCAACTTGATTCTTTTAATGCAATTCTTTTCAAATCCATTTTCTATCAATTCCCTTTAACCCCTTCATATTCTCAACAATATTTGTATATTTGATTTGGCATGACTTGAAAATAATTCAAATAAAGTTTAAATGATGAAATGATACTCGTAAACTAGACTGACTAACTTGAATTTTCTTCGTGCTCTACTGGACCGAATACTCATATTAATTTCATGGCATAAGACATGAAGCAGATTTTAAGAAGGGAGTGATCTAGTTTCTGCACGAGTTAAATTGTTTATGTTTAGTTGAATTTGCTAATTTCAGCACTTCATTTTTCTGATTTTGTACGATGGGTGCATCTTTAACTAAGAGTTTTCTTGTACCTTCAAATCTACTTGCGTTTGGTTTTGCTTTAGAAAATATTGAATTTCTTCACATGCATTGAATCCTTCATCTCATAGCTAGAACTTTGATGCCTCCTTTCATTAAACTATCGCAATGCTAAGTTACTTTTCAATTTTCGAACTTGTTTTAACTTGATTTGTGTTTATGAGAAATCTGCAATTTTGCTTTATGAATTTGGGAAATTTTATAATAAATTTCTTCCCAAACACATACAGCTACGAAGCAACTTGTACGAAGCGAAACCGATGTGTCGTCAAGGAGCTAATCACTGGAGGAGTGGCATCATTGTTCCTGGTATAACTTATTGTAATTGCTATGGCCGGGATTTACGTAGCTTTTCGTTCATACTTATGTCTGATTTCGATAATTATTGAACCATTTACAAAGTTTTGCTAAGAAAGATTGGTGTCTGATTTTCATGCGTTTATCAGACCAATATTGCTTCTTTAATAACACTTTGATGTCGCTCAACTGATCTTTTATAAGTACATGCTTGAATTTGGGATTCTTTGTTTTGAAGCAGATTGTTTAACATTTTGAAAAATAAATAAATTCAGGTATACATATAAATCTCTAATCTACAAAAGAATCCATTGATAACGAGTTTAGGATTAACGTCACCACTATCGATAAAAGATACAAAAGAAATTAGTAGATAAATAATATATAAGAGAAAAAAATGATTAGAATAAATATCCGATAATAAGATCTTTAACAAGCAAATTAATATTTAATTTTGTAATTTAATTTTCGTTAGTATCTGAAGTGGATTTAGAGCAAAGACATAAAACCTTTCTTATGTTTATTATACATATAAATTCGAATATTACGAAAATGATAAATATCCAACCAACTCACATCTCCATCAAAAATGAAATAACGAAACCAACCTAGAAGCTATATTTAGTTACATTTTATCATAATTCCCACTAAATTTAGCAAACATATAATTCAGGTTCGTCTCTCCCCTATCTCTATCGCATAAACTCGAATTTTTTCTCTCTTGCGAACCTAATTATTATTACATAATGACAAGATATGGAACTATTCCGGCCGAGTTGCCGCCATCGTCGAACTTCATTTCCCAAGCAAGAGAGCAGATTCGATTTGGCCTCGGCATCCGAAGAGAATGGAAGGAGATGGTGAAGACCGAATCCATAAAGCTCCCCACAAATCTAAACGAGGCCATACAAAGATTTCGAACCAATGCAGCGCATTTCCATGTGAATTACGTGATTGTCGTATTGTTTCTTCTCTTCATCACCTTGCTTTGGCAACCCGTATCGCTCATAGTCTTTATCATCATGATGGCTGCATGGCTGTTCCTTTATTTCCTACGAGACGACCCGGTATCAATTGAAGGGTTCATCATCGATGATCGTATCGTGATGACGGGCCTGTTGGGGATCACCATCGCCTATGTTAACGGGCGTGACAAATAATATCATCGTCGGCCTTTCGGTTGGAACGGCTGCTGTTTTAGGACATGGCTTGTTGAGAAGTACGGATGATTTGTTCTTAGAAGACGAAGAAGAAGCAACTCTACCGCTGGCATCGGCTTCGGCACGCTTTGTGGAAGAATCAAGCCGGTGCCGTTAAAGAACGCGGTCTCCGCCACTACTCTTTATCCTAACGTTCTCTCTTAAATGCTTCGGTTGATATTGTTCGATTTATATGAATTAAGATGTACGATCTGTTGCACGAAATACAATGTTCATAACGTATTTAGTACTTTATTTCAGGGTTTCCATTTTTATCAATTTCCATATTCCATCAAATTATACCCAACTATATCAATTTTACACTATTTTCAACCAAAACAGATTACACACATATATATACCCAACTATATCAAATCTGTGTCATTAATGTTTGGAGATAAAAAAGAAATGTAGGCTCGTACATGTCTTTTCGAGGGGAGCTATTGGGTCATTTTGAGGGACATGTTGACCACTAAAATTTGCACGATTCCGTGATGGAAAATGAGACCTTTCACCACATGTATGATTATCTTTGTTATGTAAAACAACCGCATGTATGTTTATTATTTACCCAATTGATGCTGACCCCGGGGAGTTCTTTGTTTATCGTAGTTGCTGCAAGCATTTGCTTTTATTCTCTACTCAAAATGCCTATTTCGATTAAAGATATATTAGGCTCTTCTTTGGCACTAAAATTGTACACGGCCATGGTGGCCCCAAGTTCAAATATGAATGTTAATGACCTTGCACTTGTTTCATTGCACTAAAATTATCTTACCTTAAAATTTCTTATCTCACGCTTTTATCCATTAAATCATCCCCACATACATTCAAATGGTGCTATAGATTTCATGTATCTTTCACCTTCAAGTGCATATAAGAATATTTCTCTTGTTGATGGATATAAGAATAAATCTAATTTGTTTATTTGTAATGATGTAATTCAAATTTTAAATATTATTTTAAGGATTAACTTTCTATCTTATTAGATTATTAATTGTTGGTAGTCTTACTTCAATTATAATAAAATTAATTATTAATGTCATGTTATATATACTATTATTTTAATTTTAAATGTATTTATTTTTATTTAATTATTTATTTTTGTTAAAAACGTAAACGGTATACTGCATAATACCTCATGTATTATTGAATAAAAATATTACAAATATATATACATTTCTAATCTAACTAACTAATAATTAGTTACAACTGAAAAACAGAAATAACAGTCTTAACTTCTTAACACTCCCCTCAAGTTGGTGGTAGAAGATATCTTTTACCCCCAACTTGGATACAAGATATTCATGTTGTTGTATTCCCAAAGCTTTAGTGAAAATGTCTGCTAATTGTTCTGAAGAAGGCACAAACTCCGTCTTGATGATCCCTTCTTGTATTTTCTCCCTTACAAAGTGACAATCATTTCTATGTGCTTCGTGCGCTCATGATATATTGGATTTGTAGCAATCTGAAGGGCAGCCTTATATCACAATACAATCTGACTGGATATTTTCTTTCTAGTCTAAGTTCATTGGCTAAACCATTTAACCATGTCAATTCTGCTGTTGTAACTGCCATGCTTCTGTATTATGCTTCAGCAGATGATCTTGCTATAACATTCTGCTTCTTAGATTTCACGAAATCAACGAACTTCCAAGCTTAATGCAAAAGCTAGAAATAGACTTTCTTGAAATAGGACATGTAACCCAATCTGAGTCACAGTATGCTTTAAGTTCACAGCTACTTTTTGAGTCCATCAAAATCCCTTGGCCAGGATTCTTTTTAATATACCTCACTATCCTCAAGAATGTAAATGAGACTCCTTAGGTTGTTGCATAAATTGGCTCAAGTAATGCACAACAAAGGTTATATCAGGACTGGTATATGTGAGGTAAATAAGTCTTCCAATGAGCATTTGAAAGACACTCTTATCAACCAACAACTCATCATTTTCATTACTCCCTTTTTACACAGCTCATCATACTCTGCTGTAGTGAGCTTAACATTTTGCTCAAGAGGAGTTCTTGCAGGTTTTGAACCACTCATTCATGTTTCCTCAATCAATTCAAGAGCATATTTGCGCTGGTTAACTAAGATTCCTTCTTTTGATCTCATAACTTCAAGCCCCAAAAATATTTCAACTCACCCATCTTTCATCTTAAACTTTTGCTCAAAAGACTCTTCAAGTCATTAATTAGACAACTATCATTGCTAGTAATCAACAAGTCATCAACATAAATCAAAAAACTATAATCTTCTTATCATTTCTCATTGTGAACAAAGAATAATCAAATTTACTCTGTTCATAACCAGCTCCTAAAAGAGCCTCAGTCAGCTTTAAATTCCATTGCCTAGAAGATTGTTTCAAGCCATAAAGGGATTTTTGCAGTCTACACACCATATTCTCCCCTGATTGTAAAAACCAGGAGGAAGCTCTATATTCTTCCTCAAACAAATCACCTTGTAAAAAAGCATATATACATCCAGCTGGAGCAGAGGCCAATAAAAAAAACAGAAGCAATGTCAAGAAAAACGAACAGTAGGAATTTTTCCAGAAGGTAAAGAAACAACTGACCAGGTTTTATTTGTTTCAAGAGCAAGAATTTCATCATTCATGGCCTGTACCCATTCAGGACATTGAATGACCTCATGATATGACTTAGGTTCAACAAAATTCAAAATAAAAGAAACAAAGGATTGTTTACCACAAGGAATTTGAGTATAAGAAATGAAATCTAAAATGGGATAGGTGGAAGTGGAAAAATTGCAAATAAACTCAGTTAACCATTGAGGTGCTTAGGAACCCTAGTAGTTTTTCTGACCAAGACTGGAGCTACTGGAGCCACAGGAGCTTCCACTGTTGTGATGAGACCAAGTATAGCACTAGAAAGAGAACATGTGGTATAATAGGAACATGTTGCTGCCCAAAAGAAAGGTCTAAAAACTCAGAATCAGGAAACAAAAGGTGTAGAAGGAAAAAAGGAATCTGTTTTGAACAGGAAAGTGAAAAGGAAACACTTGTTCATGAAAAATAACATCTCTATTGACAAAGAACTTCTTAGAAGTAAGATCAAATAAGAGATAACCTTTTTGAGTGTTTGATAACCCATGGAACAGAAGGAAAGGCTCTAGGGGCAAATTTGTCAACTGGTTTAGGAACAGTAGTATAGCTCAAACCAAAAAACTTTCAGAATAGACATGTCAGGGCTTGTGATAAGAAGTTCTAAGGACTTTCCATTGTAAAACAAGAATGGAGTTTGTTTATAATGAAATAAGCGGTTAAGACATATTCACCCCATAATTTAATAGGTACTTTTGACTGAAAACGTAAAGCCCTAGCTACCTTTAAGAGATGTCTATGTTTTCTTTCTACAACTCCATTTTGCTGTGGAGTCTGAACACAGAAACTTTGGTGCAAAATGGCAAGAAGAAAAAATGGAGAACAATGAGAATTACATTTTTTTGTACCATTGTCACTTCTAATAATTTAGTGACGAAGAAAATGAGTAGAGTAAATGAAAGAAACTGTTTAGAAAACAACATCATCAGTTTTAACCCTCAAGAGATAAACCCAAGTCATTCTGTGCAATCATCAACCACAATCAAGAAATACCTATGACCACTATGAGTAGATATTCTATAAGGACCCCATAAATCTATATGAATTAGTTAAAAAAATGCTGAGGATCTAGTAGAACTAAGAGGAAATGTCAACCTAGTTTGTTTTTCTAAAGGACAAACATTGCAAGTATGAACAAAATTTTCATCAAATACTAGTTTTTTTCATAGTAGAGTCAAAGCATGCCTAACCTAGCATGCCAAATATAGTTTTTTAT